CACTAAACCGTCTTTGGAGAGGGAGTGAGGGAGGGCGTGCATGTATGCCTTAAATCGTAGTCCTGTATGGTTCGGTCCAGTTCAGGACTATCATACAGGAGAATGCAGCAATGCTTTTTACTACTGTGTTGTCATCCTGTGCAAAGTCTCTACCTACCCCGTGTCTATTTGCCCCCAAAACTGCTATTTAAGCTGAGGGAGCACAGGCCAAAATGCTACATTACATGAGCAATTACTGTCCCCCGTTTCTCCTTTCTGCATCCCTTAAATGTGCTCTGAAGGGTGCCCCAAGCCTCTGGACCAGCTCTTGAGGGTTTATAGGGGGAAGCAAAGGGACGGGAGAACACTTCCTCCCGTTCTGTTCTGCTGAGGACAGCCATTCCACTAGCAGGAGGCTAATTGGATACAACCCATACCTGCAAATGCAAACTTACATGAAGCAGTTTAACTGTCTTCCATTTCTAGGTTTGGGAGTGTTGCAGCCTTTTAACTCTGTCTATGGTGCCATCTAGTGTAGAGAAGGTAAAATTTATGGCTGGCCAGATGCATCTTCTTTAAATTCCCAACAGAGCCCATATTTAAGGAATTGCCATCTAACCAGACCAAATGTCTGAAGTGGTGCTGCATTCACACAGCAGGGGCTTCCTTATGCAAAGTGGGAACGTGCATGCTAGCTCTGCCACTGCTCTTCTTGCCCTCCAGGAGCTGTCCTCCAGAAGCTTTCTCTGTTGGTGGAGGTTCCTCACAAGATGTAGATTCCTTGAAATTCAGGGGTTCCAAATTGCACGGAGAGCCTAAGTGGGGAGAAAGCCCACTCTGCTGCAGATGGACGTCATGCCTGCCCTGGACACATGTTTGGCTCACTCTTCAGGGGAAAAGCATGAACTCACAGGATGGAGGGCATCATGGCTTTAGCAAAAAGCTGGGCCCCTCTGGCATGAGTAAGGATTTGGCAAACACTTCTGCAGCAAAGGAATTCCCCAGCAAATCCCTGAGGACTGTTCTTCACTCAGGGTATCAGAGGAGGAGGCCAGATGTTCACATGACCCTTGAGCATGCTGGCTTCAGAGGTGGGGCACGGGCAGCTGCATGGAAGTGTGCGTCTTAAGAGCCATAAGCAGCCAGATTCCTCATGAATAAAAGTCTATTCAGAACTAAATGCTTCCTCATGAACAAGGTCATCTTCATCATACCTCCTGCCAACGTGACAACAGCCTTTGAGAAACAGGGCAGATCACATGTGCTGAATTTAGGTCACTTTATCCATTCAAATTATGTTCAAGCACCTTTGGGAACTGTATGTTTTTTTCAAGGAGAAAGTAGTTAATAGAAAACTGCCAATTAATGTGATGATATGTTCTTGAATTATACACAGAGTAATACAATCCATTACAAAGCCAGGGCAGGCCTATAAAGGGACACCCTTGACACTAAGCACGTTCATTAATCATTTCTATGTAACTATTTACTTACCCATTTTTTTCTTAATGGTTTTACTTCTATACATTAAACCTTTAAATTCAGGAATATTTGAAGAGGGGAGGGTAAACCTAAAGGGGAAGGAGGTAAGGGGGAAAGGAACAAAGAGGGACTGGCTAAGAGAAGTGCTTATTGCTTACTGAAAAACAGGTGATCCAAAAAAATTAATAGAAACAGGCTAGCTGTCCAAGGCAGGGGCAGTGGCGGACCAACTGACCCATTTTTGTCATTGCAGGTTTAAATTACTTTCCTCAAATGGAATGCCTTCTAGTAGCCACTGGTCAGAAATAACATAGTGGTATTCTGTGCCCTGGCAAAGTCCAGATTAGACTCTGTAACACACCCTAATCCTCTTGACTTTCCCTTACTTTCATTTTAGGAGAGTTCTTCTTTTGAAGTCAATTGGAATGTGTTGACTTCCTTGCAAATTTTCCACTTACCTATACTATGAAGATGGTTCAAAACCTGTAATAGATACCCAACAGGAAAGACGGGAACAGAAGCTGTGGCTTCTCAGCACTCAATTTACTGCAGAATCTACTTTTGTTGTATCAGGAACATTTCATTTACAAAAGATGGCTGACAATTTTGAAATACTAAAATCAAATGGAAGTTTTACAATATAGAACTGCAGAATTCTTTCAGGCCACTGGATGCAGATGCTTGGGTGTGTAGAACCTTCTTGACTTATTCTGGAAATGGGGGCGCAGAGATCATTGCTCTCAGAACACAGAGAAATGCAAAATGTCAGTTGAGGCAATGAAGCAGTGAGTTTGGCGGGGGGAAATCCTTCTCTCCCCCACTCAGAACAGAACAGAAGCTTCCTGGATCCCACTTCACCTTTCTGCCTTCCCTCAGGGAAGACAGATCTTCAGGTAGCTCATGGACAGGGACTGCCCCAATATTCCTCTCTGCCCACTGATGACCGTTCTCCACATTGTGCAGGATACAATGGCATGGGCTTTTTCACCTGGGCACCTGTCCTTCCCATTGCTGACTCTTGCCCTCATTGGCACCATTTGCCTTGCAAGAGTTTTCTTGAACCAGCCACACTCCCTTCTGGGCTGGCTTGTTTTGCAAAAGCACACTGCACGACTGCACGTGCCGGAGGCAAGCCTGCATCCTCAAGTATGGGCTGCTGCCAGATACCTGCAGAGCTGCAACACCAGCTCCAAGTGCGAAAGGGGCAGGCAGCAGGAAGCCAGTGCTGTCTTCCTATCTATTGAACTCCTAGGCGTGAAATAAGCAGCAGCGGGAGAAGCACCCTGAAGTGTTGCAGAGGGATGTGGCTTCAAGAAAAAGGTTCATCCCCTTTTACCCAAGGCTTCTCTCCTAGAAATTATCCTTTTACTACTTTACACTTCTCTGGCAGAGATCCTGTTTGAAAACCATTTCCCTGTGTTAGTAATGATATAAATAATGGCTCCAGAGATAATCTTGCATGGGAATGAACATCACCCTAGCTGTGTGAAAATCAGGAAACCTCTGGAGGGATTGTAATGCAGTGCAGGGAACAGCAACAGCTGGAGAGAGCTGGGCAGAAGTAGCACACCATTTGCTTTTCACCAGCTGACACCTTGGCCTGATCCTGAGTTTGCCCTGTGAGTACAGAAAGCTTCTATCATCAGGGATGTTGCTGCAAGTTTTGAAACTTGCAGGCACTTATCATGACAGTCACCATTGCTGTTGTCCTGGGGAAAGGCTAAAGATTCAGACAGCTCTGCTCAGACTAGATGGCCTGGGAGGCCCCTTCTGACTCACTCAGTTTCTATGTTTCTAAATCCACAAACTGATTCTAGTGATTCTCCTCTGGACCAGGAGCAGGTCTTCTATAAAGCTAGTGGATCTTAATTGCCCATTCAAGACCAGTCCATCCCACAATACTTTGCTATATGGAAACAGAATATTCTGAGGCTGGTTCAAGAAGAGGTCGGCATCCCTGTTAATCAAAGAGTTTCAGAACCGCATCCCTGTGAGATTAGGTCTATTATACTGAAGCTCAAGAACAAATTGGTTAATCTTAAGGTTTCACATGACATGTGCCATTTTGCTGCAATGGGCAAATAGCCCAATTCTATACCTGTTTACCTGGAAGTACTTCTTACTGGGTTGGATCCAGATATATGTCAGTTCAAACGTGCTGATGAAACTAGACTCCTCCAACCCCCTTCTATGGCAGCCCCTCTAGCTTTCTGAAAAAATTTCAAGGGGCAGATTTATATGATCAGAGGGGAAAATAAACCATGGTGGCTTATTTTTCCTGCCCACACATGCTAGTTGTGAGCTGCCTAGTCAGTATAATGGCCTATCCCAAAAATCAGGAATAAGGACCTTCCATTCTGATTGCTTGCACATCTGGAAGCCCAATCCTGGATCTAACCTGTGGTTAAATAACCATACTGTGTCATTAAATCTGCAGTATTGTACACAGCTGACCTGAAAGCAAGCCTAGAGTATGAAAGCTAGTGTGGCATGGTGGTTAACCGGCTGGACTGGGGAAACCTGGATTCAAGCCCCACTTGGCAATGAAACTCACTGCATAACTTAAAGCCAGTCACTGATTCTCAGGATTGTCTACCTCATAGTGTTGTTGCAAGGCTAAAATGGGAAGGCCATGTAGGCAAGCACGGAGCAAAACATGAGATATATTTGTAACAAATGAATAAATACAGCAATCCTATATATGATCCTCCCAGAAACTCCAAAGTAGTGTAGCTTCTTGCCTGCAATCTCTAAATAATAATAATTATTATTATTATTATTATTATTATTATTATTATTATTATTGGAACATTTCTATGCCGCCCCTTGCCAGATTACTAAAGAACATAAGAGGAGCCATGCTGGCACAAATAAAAAGTTCATCTTGGGCAGCATGCTGCTTGCACTGTGGCCAGCCAGCAGCCCACAGCAACCTACAAGCAGCACCTGTGGAACAGCAGCCTCCTGTGTATTACCCCCCGATACTGGAGATTGCACAGAGCCATCGGGATTAGTAGTCAATAATAGCCCTTTCCAAGGCTTAACTATGCGCTGTGTGAAGAAATACTTTCATCTGCCACGCATCTCCCACCAATCGGCTTCCTGGGATGACTCCTAATATTAGGAGAGAGGGGGTGGGGGGATGTATCAACTGCTTTTTTTCTTGCCCTTGGAAGCACTTGGATCAATTCCCCCCGAGAGCCGGTGGGCATGATCCGCTCGGGCCGGTGACGGGACAGGAGCGCTTTGTAGCTGCAGAACCAAAGACTTCTCCATAGCGGACGCGGCTTGACCACACGAGCGAAGAAAGCGCGGCAGCACGGGCGAAACCTTCATCTTAACCTTGCCGACGAATTCCGATTGCTCTCGAGACAGACCAATGAGCCCCGTCGACCCATACCGAGGTACGCCCAATCAATAGCCGACACCATGAGGACTCGGGCAGGCCTGTGCAGGGATCGAGTGCTCTGCGCTCGGCTCTGAGGGGCGGGAGGCTGCCAGCGCAGAGTCTTGGCGCCGGCGCCGCCGCTGCTGGTACTGCCACCTCCCCCTTCCTTGCATCAGCACCAGTCCGTTTAGCCTCGGCGGCGCGCAGTTCTCCTTGGGGGGCGGAGGCGGCGTGGTGCGGCCATGGCGGAGCCTTCTGAGAAGCTGTACCGGGCCGAGTATGCCAAGAGCGGCCGAGCCTGTTGCAAGAAATGCGGCGACAACATCGCCAAGGACTCGCTCCGTTTGGCCATCATGATGCAGGTACTTTCCCAGCCACCCGTTCATTGCAAGCGGGCGCGCCACGTTGCCTGCTGCAGCGGGTAGGCGCCTTTGTGGCTGGCTGGGCTCTGTGCATCGGTGGAGGGACTGCCTCTGCCTTTTGTGTCCGACACCCAGAAGCAACCGCCTTCCCGATCCCATCCCCACCCCCATTCTCGGCCATGTGCCTCCTGCAAAGGGATGTGGGGCGGCCAGTCGGAGGAGCCGCCCTTTTCGTGCATGACTTCGCTCGTTGCAGAGTCTCTGCTGGCTTCCTTCTTTGAAAAGGTTGCTCTGAGCAGGCCCCAAGGGCTAGGATGCACAGGCAGCTTGGGGTGCAATCCTGTGTCTGTTTATCTTGGGCGCAGTGGTTTTTACTTGTGAGTAGACCTAGTGAGTAGACGCTACTCAAGTACCCACACGCCCTCTTCTGGAGGGCAAGATTTTTCGTCAACGCAAAGAAGCTTTTGCTGTTGTTCGCTTGCAGGGGCTTTCCCGTAGGTGGCCATTCGCAAAGTGAAAACCAGAATTGAGTGTTTTTAAGATCTTGCTTGGCTTCTCAGTGATCACCTCGGCAAACGTCTGCATAAATGTCCGGAAGCATTGAACTAGATAGATCTCTATTACAGTGCATCCTTAACGGGCCTTGAATGCTACGTCTGCAAACCTTCGTGCATCTGCTTCGGAGTCCCATTTATCTATTTGGAAGCGCGGAATGCATATTCGATATAAACTGACATGAATTGACAAGGTGTGGCCATATGTTTTCAAGCGCCTCTGCAAAGATAAGGGACTAAGTTTATGTTTACTTAGTCTTCCTTAATCTAAGTAATACAGCTTTGCAACAGTGGCCAGTGTTTCTCTTTTCTTATAGGTATTTGGCTGAGGCCTGGTGCCTAGATTTGTTTTTTATTGATTTACTTCCATAGGAAAAAGCCTGGAGATTATGATTCTCTCTACCTGACACTGTAGTAAAATAGCACAGCTATTGATGATGTACCACTTTTAGTGTGAAGTTCTGAAATGATGCAACACTAGTGGTAATAGTGTATGTACAATAAATTGCTTTTTGGATCCATGGGTTATGGATCAATAAGTTGTAGCCCACCTTCTAAGAAGTCTGTAGCAGCACTGAATGATCCTATGGCCCCTTAGACATTGTCCATAGGGCCATAGGATAGTTCAGATTCCAGAGTTAGAGAATGCGCCATCACTGTAGCTAGGCATTCAAGTTCTCTCTCCCCTGTTCCCTCACAACTGCTGCACAAAGAAGAATGTTGATTGCCTGATGAGGTTGGAAGAGCAAACCAAAAATGCGCATCCTGCAAAAATGCATAGCAAGTCTCTGCGGTTTATCCTGTTCTGCATTGGAGGAGTGTTAGCACCTGAGTTTGGAGACTAACACTCATCTCCATAGGCGTTTGCATCATTGAAGCACTTTTCAATGTTGCAAGGTAACAAGAAGTGTACTTCTTGCTCTTGCCATAGAACAGTCTCTCTGAATCTGATGGCCTTGTAGGTGCGGGATGCTGCAAGTTGTAGTCCACCACTGGATATTACTGAAAGGGGGATGCTGCCAAAAGATTGCCCCTCTCTCTACTGGCTGTTGTAGGGCCTCCCCATTGCTGTTGTGAAAGCCTTAGAGTTTAGGTATCTGAATAGAAAAGGAAGGTCCAGTTTTGTTTTCAATCAGAGGTGTCATAAGTGACCATAAGTGAAATTGTAAACCTTGTTATGTTCATTTGTTTGAAGTGCTTTGTATGGCTTTGGGCAAATCATTCTCTCTCAGAGCACTGATCTGGTTGATTGGGAATTGTAACCAAGTGATACCTGACTGAGATAAATTATTTGTGTAAATGGCAGTTTAGCTTTTTTAATTGCACTTATGGTGGGATCTCACATAATTCTAGATATGAGGGCTCCCTGTGTCCTATGCATGAATGACATTCCCACCTTGACATGAATGTTCCTCTAAACACCATTTCCATATATGTCTGAACTGTGAAAGTGCTGTTTAATCTCAGATTACACACCAGGACAGTAAATTACGTTTCCTGCAGTGAAAAATTAAGGTTTCGAAAACCACCTAAATATTACAGCATGTGCAAACCCTGCCTATTAGATTGAGATGACATCTAAATCAGGGCAGTAACTTACCACCAACAATGAGCAGATGGATAAACCAAAATTTGAACCAGATTAGTATCCTCTCACTGTGCCCTCTGTGTGGGTTTATAAGAACCATTTTCATATACTGGTATATTTAGATGAGTATTATCATTAAAACTGAATGATGTAGAAAGAGATGTTAGCAGAACAATAAAATTGATATGCGTTTTGTGTGAGAGAGTGTGCATGCATGCTTGTCTCTGAAGCTTGATACTAAAATTGAATTACACAGAACATTTAAAATAATCTGATGTAACAGCGTGTTTGCTGAAATGGGGATAGCAGTGGGGCGTATAATGAAATCTCCAACATGGCATATGTTAATGAGTTTTTAATGAGCAGGAAAAAGATGCAACCACTGATTAGTTATTATGTTGTATTTTAACTCCTACATCCTATTTTTGTTGGAGAATTGAATGAATTACGATTGTGAAGAAACAGATGCAAGTTAGTAGATTAGGGGAAAAGATGTTCTCAACCTCAGTCTTGAAAACCATCTGGCCAATGCATTCATTGATTTGGTTCTTGCCTGAGAATTATTTATGGTCTTGAGGGTTTTGTTAGGGGTGTGTTTGTGTGTGCACATGTGCACACACATATATAGAAATGTTGGTTTCTGGAAACTTACTAGAATAACCCATCAAAGTCAAGGTGTTAAATGCACTGTTTCAGTTGTCTGAATATTCAGCATAATATTTATTTATTTATTTATTTATTATTTAAAACATTTATATGCCATCCTCTACGACAACATCTCAGAACAGCTTACAACATTAATTGATATCCATATATTTAAGCTATTATAAATCCATCATACTTATCCAGTATATATTTACCTAGTTTGCAAAACACAACAGCTCGTCATGGATTAATTTAGCCCTGGTGGCGCTTGTATTATGCCAAGTGACTGTGGGTGCCATTTTTGTGTGAACCCAGGCAGCCCGCTTTGTTTGAGGGTGACACAATCCTCAAGTAATCTATGGCTTCTTTTAGGGTTCTTTGAAAGTTTTCTGACTTTCAATCTATGAGTGTTTCCTACTACACATGACACCATAGGCGATGGCAAGTTGGGTGCTGAAGAAAAGGTATCTATCTCTTGATGGTAGCTGCAGCAACAATGGGCTGACATGATGTGCAAACAGGCCCTTTATTTTTCACTATTGCAAATGCTTAGACTTCATTGTTATAGGAACATTCCAAGTTAACTGTTATTGCCATATTTGCTTGGTTCAATCAAATAGGTTTTTCATGGATTGCCTTCCAGTATGCAAATTAGTGGTCGCTCGCCTTCATATATTAGTCTGGAACTTGAAGACCTCTATATGGAAACGACTCTAGAAGAGGAAATTTAGTGTTCCATACAACATCCTGCTGGAGGAATTTCATTTTGTTCTTGGTTCCTTTTTTGTATGTATTTGGTTTCTTAGGCTTTCTCTTAATAGATTTGCCTCTGAGATGCAGTTTTATGGTGTCCTGACCTCATCTAGGAGGTGCCTAGGATTCGTTGGTGTGCTTTTGGAGCTGTAGCTCCAAGAACCGAGCACCTGCCCTGTCCCTTCTCAGTTGGTGAGGAAAGAACAGTGCCAGCTGCTTCCCTGAGGTTTCAGCTGGCCCTGGGGGTGGGCATGCAGACATGCTGAATCTGGGTCCTGAATGAAGATGGCCAAAAACAGCTGTTCAGAGAAAATGCAAGATGCAGCAGTGGGTGACTCTGCCTTTGGAAGCAACCTGCCATGAGGATGGTAGGATTGTGCCTTCAGACAGTTATTTCTTAGTAACCTAAATCTGTTGTTAACTACAGCAACATGTGGCACATTGAATCCATTTTTAGCTGCTAATTTGCCTGTGAACAGAAGTCTGAATCATTGCCACTGCAAGTATGTCTTCACACCTCGTTCAGTCAGGCAGTTTCTGGCTAAGACAATCTGGGCTGTCATATTAGTTAGATCAAACTTTAATACACTCATTTGACATAGGATGATCAGGAGGCTTCTTAGGTGGAAAGCTGGGTCCTCTCAGCCTGGAAACTCAGCCTGTAACTCCAGAGGAATGGAGGAAACATCCTGTTCCTTCTGATTGGCAGCTGCTGAGTGTTTCCTTGGCAGTTTATTACTTGTACAGAAAAATCCTGGCTCACGTGTAGCTCTTATTCTAGAGCTCATATCAGTTTTTTGGAATTGCTGTTTACCCCAGGCTGTTTCAAGTAGTTGACCTGTTCACATGAACAGAAATTAAATTTACAGTTTCTGTGAGAGAAAACTCTTAGGATGCATAAATACTCTATTAATATCTAAATTTGCATATTTTGCTCTTGGAGGCCTGATGCTGGTAATGTAGTAGACCTCTTTTTAACATATTTATATTATTATTGCATTTTATATTTAATCCTTCTTTCTGTTGCAAAGAGCCCAAGCCAGCATCCTGTCCATTTTATTCTCACAACAACCACCCTGTGAGATAGGTTAGGCTAACAGTCTGTGACTGGCTCAGAGTCAACCACTGAGTATCCTGAGTCCCAGTCCAGTGCTCTAAACCACTACACCACACTTGTCCTTGGATCAAATCAATTCGAATATTCCCACACATTTTGCTCGCATCCCAGATGGCTCATACCCCTGCACTTACAAAAATCTATGGCATATACCAGCCTTCTCCAACCCAGTGCCCTGCAAATGTTTTTGAAAACAATTCCTAATGTTTCTGACCATTGTCTGTGCTGGCTGGGTGTGATGGGAGTAACAGTCCAGCATCATCTAGAGCAGTGGTTTTCAACTGCTGGTCTTTGGACCGGCTCCAGTCTGCCAGAGATTTCCTGCCAGTCTTTGTGGGGGGCT